GAGAAGCCACAAAGTATGGATCGATTCTCTGCTACTTGTGCTAATTTTGGCCTAACAATTAACACCAAGAAAATACAAGTGCTCCATCAGCCCCCACCACACTGTCCATATGTGAAACCATCGGTTATAGCAAATGGAGAGGTTTCGAATGCTATGGATAAGTTCGCTTACTTGGTAGTGCACTTTCCAGGGATGTACACATTGATAATGACATTGAGACATGCATTGCCAAAGCTAGCTCAGTATTTGAGAGGCTCCAAAGGAAAGTATAGGAGAGAAGAGGTATTACACTGACTACCAAGCTGAAGGTCTACAGAGCCATTGTCCTGACCTCATTGTTGTATAACTGTGAAACCTGGATAGTATAACAGTTCCATGACAGGAAAGTGAATTGCTTCCATTTGAATTATCTTAGAACAATTCTGAAGATCACCTGGCAGGATAAGATACCAGACAGAGGTCCTTTCTCAAACTGAACTGCCAAGCATTCAAACTCTGCTTCAGAGAGTGAAACTCCGATGGACTGGCCATGTTGTTTGAATGCCAAACATTCACTTGCCAAAAAGACTGTTTTATGGAGAACTTACACAGGGCAAGCTTTCATATGGTGGTCAGAAGAAGCTATACAAGAACATTCTCGAGATCTCTCTTAAGAACTTGGGAATTGATTGTGTGACATGGGAGACGCTGGCACAGGACCTCCCAGCATGGGGTGCTCACATCAGAGAAGGTGCTGTGCTCTATGAGCAAAGCAGAATTGAGATAGCTCAAGAGAAATGCAAGATACACAAACTTAGAGAACCCACCCCAAATATTGACACGGACTATTTGTGCCTGACCTGCGGTAGAGCATTCCGAGCTCAGTTTGATCTGATCAGCCACAGTCGGACACACTGTAACTTGACTCTAGCATGGTGATGTCGTTTTGGTCCTTTTTGAAAATGAAAGACAACAATAAAAACTAATAAAAGTGTTAGAGATCCTTGAAGGCAGGGACTGCTTCCTTTTCGTCTCTGCTTCCCAAGTGCTTGGTATAGTGATGGCGCAGAGTAGGTGCTTAGGAGATGCTTGTTGAACACATTTGAGTTTGAAATGTCTTTTCATTTCTGCTGACCCATTCCCTTGGTGGGCCCCACAGCAAGTGTCAAAAAACTGTACCTGCTTTTCACAAGACAAAGTGTTTGAGTTACTCTGGCTTTGAGGATAAGGGGTCCAGGTAACAGGAGGCATGGTCTGAGTCAAGGAAACCAAAGAGACAGACACAGCTGTGTGAAAAAAAAAAAGTCATCTTAACAGGGAAAACAAGAAAACAAGATGGAAATGTTTCTGAGCTGAGTCAAGGTATGTAGATCTGGCTCCTGGGAGAAGGTGTGGGTAGGGTGTGGGTGTTAGAGGCTGGAGCAGATTAGCTGGGTCAGGTTGCTCTTAAACCCATGTGACCCCACCTCTGTTTGTGTAGGTGTGATTGCAGGGTTGTGAGCATTGCTGAGCCATAGTCAGTGCAGACCCCCACCTTTCTGAGGCCAAGGGAAGAGGAGTCATGGAACAGTGTAACAGTGGTTACAGTGGCAAATAGTAAACATTTATTTCTGCTAGGCCAAAGTAAGACTATAGAGAGAAAGCAGGGATATGGGTAATGAAGTTGTCCTTGATGAGTTCAAGTCTTCTGGCTCAGATGAATTCCATCCTTCATTACTGAAAGAGCTGGCAGATGGGATCACTGAGCCCCTGGAAGTGATATTGGAAAGATAATGGAAATCAGGAGAGTTACCACAAAATGGGATAAGAGCAAATGTCCTGATATATTAAAGGAAAGAGAATAGAGTCTTCAAATCATAAGCTAGGGACAGCAATTCATAGAAAATTAAAAAAAGAGAGATAGTTGCCCAGCATATAAAAAAGGCAGCTGTGATTACAAACCAGCAGCTTCATAAAGAACAGGTAGGGCCAGCCTCGTCTCATTTACATTTTTGACTGGATAATTAAATTAGTAGATGAATGAAATCCTGTGGATATATTTCACCTAGATTTTTAGCAAGATACTTGATCAAATATTCTCTTGTTGTGGAGAAGATGGATAGATGGATAAAGAGATGAAAATATAATTCAGAACTTCTGGGGTTGGCAGGATATAAGAGTAGTTGCTAATTGGTCATTGTCAGTATGGAACAGTCTCCAATAGAGATCTCCAGGGAACTGGGCTTGACCCTGTTCTGTTTATCATATTTATTAGCGACTTGGATAAAATAATAGATCATATAAACATTAAATGTGCAGGTGAGATAGATGAGACAAAGCTGGGAAGAATACCTAAGATATTAGATGACAGAGTCAGGGTGCAAAAGGATCATGACTGACTAGAGCACTTGGCTCAATCTAATAAGATAAAATTCAATGGGATAAATGTAAATTCTTTCATTTGGGCAAAAAAAAACCCTAATAGCATCAACTTCACTGGACAAGATGGGGGAAGCACAGTTGGGCAGCAGTTCTGAAAAAAGAGCTGGGGTTTTTAGTGAACCGTTCATATAAGTTAGCCAGATATTATGACAATCAAAAACCTACTGTGATCTTGGGCTGTGTTGAGGGGTTAGGTCCCAGGTACAGAGGATTGATAGACCCATTGTAATCAGCCCTTGTCAGACTTCATCTGGAGTGCTGGGTTTAGTTCTGGGTGCTACAGTTTAGGAAAGATAAACTGGAGAGTAACCAGAGGAGTACAACCAAGATGGTGAATAGTTTGGGGTTCTTGTCATAAGAATCAATTCAAGAGGGGCCTCTAGGTGGCGTAGTAAATAGAACACTGGCCCTGGAGTCAGGAGGACCTGAGTTCCAATCCCATCTCATACACTTACTAGCTGTGTGACCTTGGGCAAGTCACTTAACCTTGATTGCCTAAAATAATAATAGTCATTCAAGATACTGGGTACATTTAGCCTGAAGAGAAGACGCATGGGGGACATGATAGCTGTTTTGAATTACATGACAGTGTCCTTTGGAAGGATTAGACCGCCTCTATTTGGTCTTAGATGGCAGAACCAGAAGCAAAAGATTAGAAGTTGCCAAGAAATAAATTTAGGTTTGATGTTTAAAACAAATAAAACAAAACAGCCCCCCCCAAAAAAATTATGTAACAATGACAGCTGCCCCTAAAGTGGAGTGGGCCACCTTCCCCTTCTTGGAGGTCTTAAAGCAGAGGCCCGAAGACCACTTGTGTATGGTATAGCAGAGACTCTGTTCAGGTATGTGTTGGCTAGAGGTCTGCTGAAGTCCCTCCCAGCTCTCAAGCTCTTAATTCTATGATTCTGAGTCCACTGAGACTCAAACACTTTGAAGAACTCTTAAGTCCTGCCCACAGTCTCATCATCGATGCTGGCTTAGCACTCTGGCTTACCCTGCAACCCACACATACTCTTTCACTCAGAGCCAATGGTTTTATCTTTGTGGACATTCTCTCCACTGACACAGATGACATTTGTCAAAGTATCTGGTGGAGCTCTCCAGCTGCATGTCCTACCAATACCTCAAGCTCAGGCTTTCCTCTCTCATCAACACCCCCATTAAAATCCTTCTCCTTTCCCCAACTCCTTCCTTTCCCCTGAAGGCATCAATAGTCCTGTTGGATTGGACTAATTGATTGAACTAATAGAATAGTCTCCTAACTTGCCTTCTTGCTTTTATTCTCTCTCCTTTCCAAGATGTCCTATACCTGATGCCAATTATGGTATTTTTTTACTTAAAAAAATCAGTGGTTCCCAATTACCTGCCAGATAATTTAAAACTTATCAATCCTGCCATATAAGGTCTTATCTCATACCTTTCCCTTTCACATACTTATATTATATATGGCTAAACTGAACTTCCGTTCATCACCCACCGTCTTATTCTATTCTCTGTATTCACTTTGTGCACACTTTCTCTTCTTGCAAAACTCTTTCCTCTCACCCCTTTTTGACTTTTTAATTGACCCCTTCTTTCAAGCCTCTTTGTGGGTACCACCTCCTCTAAGGAGCCTTCTCCTAATAGCTCTGTTCTCTGACGTTGTGAAAGTCATATCTTCATTTTCAAATTCTTCACAGAACCTTGTCTCTATCTCTCCTTTGCATTTATGTAGAACATCTAGGTGCTGTAGTAGATAGAGCAGGAAGCCTGGAGTCAAGAGGACCTGAGTTCAAATTTGACCTCAGATACTTCCTAGCTAATTAATAATTTATAAATTAGACATAATTTATACAAGTCATTTAACTTCTGTCTCAGTTTCCTCAACTGTAAAATGGGGATAATAATGGTACCTACCTTCCAGGGTTGTCGTAAGACTTAAATGAGATACTATTTGTAAAGTTCTTGGAACAGCGCCTGGCACTTAATAAATACTTGTTCCTATTACCACCTTTATTTGTCTCATCTTCCTTTGTATAATCTTACTTTGTGTACCTGTCTTTATCTCCATTAGGCTGCTAGGTTCTAATGAGTAGTGTCTGTGTTTAAGCAATCCCTATATTTCAAGAGTGAGCACTAAAAGCTTTCACATATCAGAGGTATAATAAATGTCTGTTATCCCTAATTTTTCAATTTAGTTCCATTTACTTCTATGCTATCTTGAGATATTGATGGGAACAGTGCAATGCAATGGAAAGAGTGTAGGATTTGAAGTTGGAACACTGAATTCAAGTGTCACCACTGCCACGTACTACTTGTGTGATGTAGGACAAGTCACTTAATTTCTTTTTCATCTAAAATGAAATTAAAAAAAAATAGAAAGCTTCACCTAATGACTTCCCCCCAGCTCTAAGACCTATGATCTTCTGATTTTAGAGGAAATGGTAATCAACTCCTCACTTGTATAGCATACTTCAGTTTCACTCAGATAAAGGTAATCTTTATGGTCCCTTCTATCTATAAACCTTTGTAAGTCCCGAAACTAAGGATCATGCACCTTTAATGTTTCATGTGCTATGGCACTATCACTGATGACCTCTCTTTTGATCATCTCTTGCCAGGGGGAAGCTGGACAAAAAGGAGAAAAAGGAGATCCAGGCATCAGTGGGGAACCTGTGAGTATTACAGCACCTTTTAGTGTGTTTGTCAAGTGGAGACGCCGAGTTCCCAGCTGTCACATTGTTGAGTTCTATCCATGCTGAAGGGTCACACCTACTGTAGGCATGTATTTGGAGTGACAATGCAATTCACTCAAGGCTGTGCACATTTACCAGAGACTTCAGGGCTGTTATAGCACAGGGTTGTGCTGGTTGGGTAATTGAATTAAATGAGATTGCTTCCATCAATGGAATTCCAGATTTCTATAAAGATGGATTATTTTTGCCAGACCTTGCTACCCTGCCTGCCTATTTTGTCATGGTAATGTGAACAGAGGTGAGAAATGGGTGATGTGATGTTTATATGAGCATTTAGGGTTGTTTTGTTTTGTTTTGTTTTTATGAGTTCTGGTTTCTCTGAGTAAGACTTGCATGCCTCTAGCCACCTGTGTCAGGGCTCTGAAACCTCTGTCACAGGCATACCTGAGAGAAGTATTCTAAAGGATGCTACTGCTGGTAAGACTGGGATCCAGGAGAGTCACTGCCCAACCATTTGGTATACTTCAAGCCCAAAATCTCAGGCAAGCCAAAGTGGAAAACCTTATGTATAAGACTGTCTTACTAACAGAAAAAAAACTCAGGAGAGCCCAAACATACAGAGAAAACTAGTCTCCCCAGAGCCATTCTGTGCTTCCACAAGGAGATCTCTCCTGGTTCTCAAACTTTCCCTACTCATGCACACAACTCTGTCTGAAAAGGAATTTTCTCAGTACCTATTACCTCAAAAGTCACTAATTCCCTAGATCATGCAATCAGTGGGAAATCTCAACCGCATAGTTGCCTTATTGGGGCTAAGATAAGCCACTCAAAGATCATTGAAATGATAAGTTTTTTTTATTTTTCCTATAAACTGAAATCTCAATATGCATCAATAGTAGATCCTGGTGGCAAAAAGGAAAAGAAAAAAAGCTAAAGTGATCTTAGATTGCATAAAGCATAATTAACATAAGGGAAGGGATGTTCCTACTCTACTCTATCATGGGTAGATAGCTTCCTAAGTACTAGATATAAATCTAGATATAGATCTAGATATAGATACAATGTTCAGAAGTGAAAATGGCCTAAATAGTCTTTTAATTCAGTTTATTTTCTCTTCAATATCGCTAACAAGTTATTATCTACTTTCTACTTGAATACTTTCAGTGATGGGTAATCCACTGCCTCCTGAGGCAGCCTGTACAATATTTGAGCAATTCTAATTATTCTAATTATTCAGAAATTTGGTCTCCTATGATTTCTAGAGAGGGCAGCTAGGTGATACAATGGTAGAATGCTTGGTCTGGAGTCAGGAACACCTCAGTTCAAATCTGACCTCAGACACTTACTAGGCAAGTGACCTAGTAAGAGTAAAGTGACACTGGCCAACTCACTTAGCCCATGTCTACCTCAGTTTCTTCAGCTGTGAAATGGGAATAAAAAATAGCATTCACCTCCCACTGTTGTGAGGATTAATGAGGTAATATCTATAAGGCATATAGTATATGCTTAATACTTGTTACCTTCTTTCTACCCCCTGGTCCTGCTATTTCCCTATGGGGCCAAACAAAACAAGACTAACCCTTCTTCTACTTGATTTTAAAAAAGAAATGGATAAATTAGAGCTTTTTCAGAGGAGGGTGAATAGGAAGATCGGTTTGAAGAAATTGGAGTTTTATAACCAAGAGAAAACTTACTGGGGACCATGTCCCCATCTTTAAATCTAAAAAACTGTCATGGAAAAGGATTAGAATACTTTTGCTTGACCATTGGCTGACAAACCTAGGTGGAGTGAAATAAACAGGGAGTTGATTTCAGCTCAACCTACTTTATAACCTCTCAACAATGAGAGCTGTCCATTAGTGGATAGGTTGCCTCATAACATAGTGAGTTCTCCCTCACTGGATGTTATCAAGCTGAGACTGTAGGACTATTTTTAGGAATTTTGTAGGTAGGATTCCTACTTTTTGGGTAAGGGTTGGCCTAGAAGAACTTTGAGATTCTCTGATTCTTTGATAAGATGATTTTATGGTCATTTAATTGATTTTAGGGACCCCGTGGTTTTCCAGGTGAAGTTGGACCAAAGGGACCTCCAGGACCCCCAGTAAGTAAAATCCTTTCTCTCTATCTTCAGCTGGTCATGGCTTTCCAGTAGAAAGCAATTGCTCTGTCTTCTAGCTCCAGTCATAGTGTTAATTTGTATATCTGATATTTTTGTATCTTATTAACAGTCTCTGAGACACATCCCTATACTTGAGAAACTTGTCAAGCTCATACGGTAGTTGGGGTATAGTCAGGGGTGTCCTGGAGCCAGCTTGACCCAGCTTTCAAGATCTTATTGTCCAATTTTTAGTCTGAGCATTTACATTTAGGAAATCAGCAAACACTATAGATCAGGGCTTCATTTGTTTTGTTGATTGTCTAGACTTAATAAAGTGATAGAGAAAATATTAATAATGCAGATAAAACTTAAAATATTTCATGTGTACATTTTTTCCCTAACGACTCAGTTGTTAATACCCTTCAGTATAGTAGAAAAAGCAGTGAGCTAGGGCCTAAGAGTCTGGTTTCCAGTAGTACCTTGATACTAACCATATAAACTCAGTCCTATCATTTAACCCTTCTGGGCCTCAGTAAAATGAGGGGGGGTGGGCTGAGTTAAAATTTTAAAATTTAATATTTCTTCCTAATTACATGTAAAAACAATTTTAACATTCTTTTTTTTTTCAAATTTTGAGTTCCAAATTCTCTGCCTCCCTTTCCTCCCCCCGCCATTGACATAGGTTATATATGCAAAACACATTAAAGCTAAATGATTTTTAAAGTTCCTTCTTGCTCTAAAATTCAACATTCTGTCACTAATACTGCTGTAGGAACTTGAGCAAGTCTTTGGGCCTCAGTTTCCTCATTTGAAAAGGTTAGACTACATGGCCATGAAAGTTATTTCCAGTTTTACCATTTGATAATTATATACTGTATTTCAATTGTTTTTGAGACATCAAGGACACTTGAGTTCAGCTCAGATGCCAGCTTTGTGAACATGATCAAGTCTCTCTTCACCTCTCAGTTTCCTCATCTGTAAAATGCCTGTAGTATTTACTCCACAGGGACGTTGTGAGGTTCAAACAAATGTAAAGTGCTTTGCATACCTTCAAATAATATAAAAAATGTAAGTTACTTATATTATTATTGGGGATCTGTACTTTTAAAACTATTTTCACTTACCTTATGAATACTTAGAATCTATACAGTCAATACTTCATGTCATGCTTCTTAGTGTGAGAACAATGAAATATCCAGTTTATATGATTAACTTTCAAATGTCCCACCCCCACCCTCTATCCTCCCACTCCCACTGATGTACTTTCCTAATTATGTATTGCATAAACTGGTATGAAATTTAGTTTCCATTTTCTGAATAATGAGTGGGAAAGGTGACCCAGATGTGTACTAGGTAACAGAATGGGATGAGAAATTTGCTGCAGACAATTCACAGTAGATAGCCCACACATTGATAATTGACAGTTGACTAAAATGCTCATTTAATTTCTTCAATGGGATTAGGTAGAATTGGACTGAAGAACATAAATGGATAAAATAGCACACTTTGTGGACTTAATAACTGTCATTAAGTATAACTCACTCAGCCTGCTTCTATAACCATTAAGCATAAGCAATTAATATGCTTCACATGCTGATATTCACAGTCAGGTCTTCTGATCGGGGCTTAATTGACTGAGCACAAGGCAACAGTTCTAGCATTCTAAATTTTGCCCTTTATAATATTTCCAAGAGGAATTCCATTTAAAAAATTGTGGTCATACATATACCCCAATTTGATGAATAATTCATATTCTCCTTGGTCAAGTGGAAGAGCCACCTGGAACATTTTCCCAGTGGAAACATTACTCTTAATCTCATCTCTGCTCTATGTAGCTGTGTGTCCTCAGGCAAAGCAATAGAATATTAGAACTAGAGTTATCTAAGACTATAAAATATTACAATCAAAAGGGACATGAGAAAGTTGAAATTGAAGAGACCTTTAGAACACATGATTTTAGAAAATTAAAATCATAGGATTTAGGGCTGGAAGAGACCTTAGAAATGATATAGTCCTCCATGTTTTGGCCAATCCTCCCTCTAAAAAGCATTAGGAAGCAAAGATCAATTGTCTTGTTCAAAGTTACCCAAATAATAACAAAAGCAGGATTCTGTTCCATATTGTAGACTCTAAATCTGGAGCTCAACTCGCTATAACTTCTTCTTTGCCTAGGGGCTATTCTTTTGATAATTTGGAAACTATAAACCATTTATGTGTAGATAAAATTTGGCCTGTGATTTGGGCTGTCATATGAAGGAGGACTCCCTTTAAATGAAATTTATGTCAGATCCATTATACCTCATTTTTGAAGCTTAGGTAAACCATTTGCTCTTATCTGAGTCTGAGTTTCATAATCTTTTTCAAACTGGGACTAGATGGGATAAAATGACCCCTAAGGTGTTCTTTGTCCTAACATTCTGGTCTTAAGGTCTTTTTCAGTTTTGATAGTTTATATTTCAGGCAGGTTAGTGGTGCTGTGGATAAAACACTTTCCCTGGTTTCAGAAAGACATGAATTAAAATTCTGCCTTAGACGTTTACTAACTGTATGGCCCTGGGAGAGTCAATTAACCTCTTTCTGCCTTAGTTTCCTCAACAGCAAAATGGGGATGATAAATAAAAGCACATACTTCCCAGGGTCATTGTGAGGATCAAATGAGATTTTATATGTGTATGTGTGTGTGTGTGGCGGGGGGTGTGCATGTGTGTGTGTGTATTTAGCACAGTATCAGGCACATAGTATATTATTCACTTCTCTTTCTCCTTAATGCCCCCATTCAAGTTTAATATTCTGTGGTTAATCATGGACCTTTAGATGAAATTTCATGATTCAAATCAAAACTCTGTAAGGACAGTATATAAAGTAAGAATTAGTTATAAAAAAATATAGGTGATCAAACATACAGTTATCCTAGTATATAGTGCTTCTACTTATCGATTAGATGGTTAAATTGCAATCAGCTAGGAAGTAGAGAAATGAAATGATGGGCTTTTACCCACGAAACTGTATAATTACTCTGTGAATTCATCAAAATAAGTTTTATTTGACACATTGAGATAAGACGTATGCTTTTCAAGACAGATACCCATTTTACATCAGAACCTTTCATCATGTAATGAAAAGAATCCCAATCTGAGAGTCAAGAACCTAAGATTCTAGACCAGATTCAGTTAAGAACCAGCTGTATCACTTGAGTAAAGTCAGTTCCCCTACTCTTGGCTTCCTCATAATTGCAGAGGCATTGGATTGGATAACTGCACAGGCTTTTTAAAATGTAATAATTTCAAAATTAATAATCAATAATTTAATGTTAACATTCCATACTTTATTTCTTACATCCCTGACATGCTAACATTCTGTATTGTGTTCCATCAGTCTATGCTCTAGTGTCTTAAAGCACATGCTCTTGGAGCCCTTTCCAGTTCTAGCCTTCTATGAATCTGTTTTTCTCTGATGCTTTCCCCTTTGGCTTTTCAGCACCTCATTTGAATTGATTAGAGCAGCCCCCTGCCTGGGACCCCAGATCTTGTGCTGAGTTCAGCAGTTTCTAATTTGCTTGTGCCCCTTTGTTTCCATCCAGGGTGCTCAAGGCCCAGAAGGAGCCCGAGGGGGACCTGGAGCGGCTGGAAACACTGTGAGTAATTGCCTCTCTGATGTGTCGCCTTAACAGGGTACACAGCTGAAGGGATGCGCCAGCAGCTGCATTGCAGATTTTGGTTCTAATTCTATAGAGGAGAATGTGATCAGTAAACAAAGTCAAATATTGAACTGCTTAGGATTGAGCAGAAATCAAATGGGCAGTTGCCCTTAAGTTCTCAGACCAATCCATTCATTACTTCATGTCAATATTTAAAGGAATTGACCATGCAGGTTTGTTTCATTACAAATTCACCATCACCACCACTCTTCTTTCTGGTCTAGGCAGAACATAGATCTGGCTGCTCCCTTCCTTAGCTGCCATATTATTTCTCATCCAAGTTTCTAAGCACATTAGTAAACTGATGTTCTATCTTCACATCTTCACATTTCCAACAGAAAAAAGGCTGAGGTCTTCCACTTCATCTGGGTCCATCTGGTTATTCTCATGTGTATCTGGCCTCTAGACTCAGATGGCTCCAGAGGAGAAAGTGAGTCTGATGATTTTACACAGCCCTCCCTCACTGAAATCCAATTCACTTGCATGTCATGGCATCACCTCCATGATGACATAGTCCTCTTTGAGAAGGAAAGACAAACAACAACCCATGAGTAGTAGCCAGTTTTCTTCCTTCCTTCCTTCCTTCCTTCCTTCCTTCCTTCCTTCCTTCCTTCCTTCCTTCCTTCCTTCCTTCCTTCCTTCCTTCCTTCCTTCCTTCCTTCCTTCCTTCCTTCCTTCCTTCCTCCTCCTTCAGAAACTTTGCAAGATATATTGGGGTTTACATGCTAGATTTCTTTCTTAAGGACAATGCTCAGGCCATACCCTACTTGGTCATTGTTTGCATCCTGATTAACTAATAATGAATGTTTTGGCCAGAAACCCTGAGGGCCTTCCCCTCCCAGTTTGATTTTTTTTTATTCTGGATTAGGTTAAAGGGAACATCCTTTGCCTCATTTTTTTAACCTAGCCTTAATCGTTGAAGGGTGCTGCTTCAATCAAACTGAGACTTTGCTTTAAAAGGCCAAGGTCTTCTACTACATCTGGGGCCATCTCCAGTTATCCTGATGTGTATCTGGCCACTGGATCCAGATGGCTCCAGAGGAGAAAATGAAGCTGGTGACTTTGCACAGCCCTCCCTCTCTTAAATCCAATTCACTTGCATGTCATGGTCCTCTTCAAGAATGAAAGACAAACAATAATTTCTCATCCAAAAAGTAAAGATGCTCAATATCAGTCTAGGCTTTAAACCAAATCTCAGTTGGCCTCTTCCTTGCACTTATGATTGATTGAAAATGTCGTTTGTAAAAGTAGTATATTGGTATACATCTTTTTTCTACCTGCCACCTCAACGCAGCAGGTGCCAAGGAGTATTAATGCACAAAGCAGATGTCCAGAGCTTTAAATAAATTGGAAATTCTTAGTAAACTAATTGCCATGGAAGAAGAGAAAGGACTGGAATTCTTTGACTTCAGAGCTTGTTCTCTTGGCTGGTAGACCCATCAAAACCACCACTGGAAGAGGTTTGACTAGACAACAGTTTGTATCTAAATGTTACAGTTTGGAGTGTAAAGGTTCCTTTCTGGATACCAGATATTTGGATGCCACATAAATTGGAACATGTCCAGAAAAGAACTAGAATGGAGATGGACCTGAATGCTGTTAGAGAAAGATTTGTCAGAAAAACTGAGGATGTTTATCCTGGGGGAGGGGAAAGGAGTAGGAGGGATATGAGGTTTAAACATTTGAAGGACAGTCATGTGGAGGAAGGAATGCATGCAGTCTGCTCATTCTGGAGGGCAGTACTAGGAACAGTGGGGAGAATTCATAGAGGCAGATATATGTTGCACATAGGAGAGCAACAACAGTAGCAACACTGCCCCCCCAAAAAAAAATCCTTTTTAAGCAAATAGAACAATGCAAAAGTGAAGGAAGATCCTCCTTAGAAGATAGTAGATTTTTCTTCACTGGAGGTCTTCAAGTTGAGGCTGGATTCCTGTTTAAATATAGATTAGACTAGATAGCCCCTGAGATCTTTTGTGACTCAGAGATCATGTAATTCTTTGACCAGGCCCTTTCATCTTCTGCCCTGCTCAGAGGTAAGGATAAAGATAGAGTCACTGACTATTCTCCTGGGTCAGGTTTGGGCTCAAAGGATGTGAAGGGAGCAGCAGGAGATTGTTAAATAAGAGACTTGTCAATATAGGGAGGGTCAAAATATTGCCATAGACAAATCAGTGTTTTCAGAGACATGGGCAAATCCATTAGGCTAGCAGAGAGTCAGTTCCCAGCATGGCAATATGTTCAAAAGAGTTAAACAAAATCTTATTTTACTCACAAATTAAAAGATGTTATTTTTTGAACTTTTTATTTTCTTGTCAATTGATAAGCATTGATTTTTCTCTCTCCAACCCCTCCCCCCAAAAAAATTGAAAAAAAAGAAAGATGAATGTTTTAACTAGTATTCATAGTCAAGCAAAACAAGTTTTCTCATTGGCCTCATCTCAAAAAGTATGCCTCATTTTAAATCTTGATAACAAAGCAGTACTGAGTTCGGGACCCTTTCTTCAGCTTTCAAATTCAGAATCAGTCCTTTAGGTCTGCCAGCCAGCTCTGGCCATTCTCATTCTGTCCTTCTCCTTCTCCTCACCCCCACCTCCATGACAACTGCTATAACAAGGGGTATGAAACAATCTACCCTAGACCCACTTCTCTATTTCTTCCTCCCTTCACATAGGAATACACAGTCTCAAATACAGTCCTTTGGAAAGGATAACTCTCATCAATACCCCCTAGGACCTAGTAAATTGACTAATGCAAGACTGGTTTTCAAAGTCCTCCACCCTCACAGAGAAAAATAGAGCCCCACAAATTGACACCGTGCTCCTAAGAAATGTGAAAGACCAGATCTATAAAACCCATGGATCAGGGCCCAAGATTCTGGCCCCCCAAATTATAGGATTTCAAAGTGTACAACCACACAAAAATCTAGTTTAATCATTTCATTTGACTGAAAGGAAAACTAGGGATGTTAACCAAGGTCATACCAGCAGTAAATATCAGAGTTAGGATCAGATCAGATCCTGTGACTAGAATTACACTGTCGTTGTTTTTTTTTAATGTATCATACTGCTATCCTAGGAAATACAGCAGACATTTACAGCACAGGAGATGCCGTGAAGCAGAATTCCTTCTAAAAGGATACAAATATGATTCATTGCTCAGAGCACGATGCTGTAATGTCCTCTAATAGACTGAGGATGTCAGGGTCAGTAGCACATCCTTACCTCTGGATGAGGGAGATGAACTTGAAACACACAAACATCTACAAGCACCCCCTAGAGCAAACCAAGCTGGGCATTGCTATTGCTCCCATTAGATGATATGGCCTTGTGACCTTGCACAATGTACATCCTCTCACTGGGCCTTAGTGTTTTCATCTGTAAAATGAAGGGAGTTGGATAATATAATCTCTAAGGCCCCTTCCAACTCTGAATCCTATGGTCTGTGAAACTACTTCAGTGCTATTGAATTTTCCCGAGTACCTGGACCCTACTTGGCTACATAGTGGATATTATTGGTCTGACTCTCTAAGGGTACCCTGGCCTCAGATTCCTTGCCCATCTCCCACATTCCTTGAATTGATATCTAGAAGAGAAACATACCCAAATGAACATACTATCCTGTCCTATATTCCTCATAATTATTTCCAAATATGCCACCCTTTTCTACCTAGCAAGGCATCCTTTGTGACAAAAATGTTTAAAGAAAGAAAAAAAAACATTTCAGCAAAACAAATTAACACATCAGCCATGCAGGACACCGTAGGTAATGTTTCTCAACCAGAGCTCCCTCCTTCAGCAACAAAGGGAAGGAGGTTCATTTCCCTTCTCATCGCTGGGGCTGATCTTGGTCATCATAATTACTAATTGTTCAGTTTTATTTTGTTTTTCTTTCTTTGTTTTCACTGTGTCTTTTGTTTTACGGACTCTGCTTCCTTCACTCTACAATAGAGAGCAGAGAAACACCTAAGGTAGAATTTTATATGCATTGTCAGATAAACTTGGTGTATTGGCTGTTTTTGCTTAATTATTTTTCTTTGTCATAATGGAGAGTCCAATCTAGAGGGGAGTGAGAGTTCTCTGCCTCCCCCAGAAATGACTGTGATGTAAAGGCAAAGGTCAATATGAAAAAAAAGAAAGGAAAGGAGAAAGAGAGAAAGAAAGAAAGAGAGAGAGAAAGAGAGAGAGAGAGAGAGAGAGAGAGAGAGAGAGAGAGAGAGAGAGAGAGAAAGAGAAAGAGAAAGAAAGAAAGAAAGAAAGAAGAAGAAAGAAAGAAGGAAGGAAGGAAGGAAGGAAGGAAGGAAGGAAGAAAGAAAGAAAGAAAGAAAGAAAGAAAGAAAGAAAGAAAGAAAGAAAGAAAGAAAGAAAGAAAGAGAAAGAAAGAAAGAAGGAAACATATGCATTGCCCTAGCCTTGGTAAATGTTTTTGATCATTGTGTTCCTTAGTATCCTTTACTTGTGTTCTTCTCCCTGGCTGCTGTGATGCACACCTTGGTCAGCCTTTGACTCATATTCTCAATAGCACTACCAGCAGAAAGCCACTTGTTAGCAAGGCCAGGCCATCACTGAGAGTGGGGCAGGTTCTTTAGAACTGGCATGGGAAAGGTGTCTTGTGCTGGTTCTGATACTACTGTACCAGCAGTAACAAACCAACAAAACTACAGTCCTAAGAGACGTGACTGCTTCTGGGAACGTGAGTCCCTTATATGGCTACATGGATACTGCTCAGATTTGGTCACTCCAGATTATTTTTACTGGCCTGTTCCTTCCAGGCTATCAGGGCTGATCTGTTCCTATAAAGTGCCTGATGAGCTAGGCCTTTTATAAGTGGTTAGTGAGGAAAGAGGTGGGGCTTTTGTGGTTGGCTTTATTGGATATCTTTTAAAATCATCTTAGTGATAACTAGTCTTAGAGTTGGGGCCAATGGAGAGCAGAAGCACGGATTAGATATGATGGAAATACATTTACTTGGCAGAGTGTTCTAGAAAAAAAATGGACATTGTTATACTGAGTAGAAAATTTCTGTAAAATTGAAACATGTCAGTGCCAAATATGAGTTAGTTATATCTGAATTTCTTCTCTTTTTGTTTCAACAGGGAGCTCCTGGACCAATAGGTCCTCCTGGTGCTCGTGGTCTCCCAGGAAATGTGGTATGTAATCAAAGTAGGGAGAGGGGAAATTGATTACAAGCTTAATTGTCCCTTACCACTATTATCTGTTTCTCAAAGTGATCAAGGAAAAGGAAAAGAGCCTATATGTTCGAAAATAATTATAGCAGTTCTCTTTGTGGTAGCAAAGAACTGGAAATTGAGGAGATACCCATCAATTGAAGAATGGCTAAACAAGTTGTGGTATGTGATTGAGACGGAATGCTACTGTGCTATAAGAAATGATCAACTGGTTGGTTTTAGAAAAAACATGTAAAGACTTACACGAAATAATGAAGAGTGAAATGAGCAGAATCAAGAGAATATTGTATACAATAACAGCAATATTATTTGAAGAACAGCTGTGAACTATTTTCAATGGGTTCAGAGGCCAAGAATATCATAATGGTGAGCCAAAGGAACACAGTCCCCAGAGGAGGAATTCAATAAATATGTCCTTATTTGGATTATGACTGCATATAGAGAGATGGTGTTACACAGTAGACAGAAAGCTGGCTTTAAAATCGAGAAGAGCTGGGTTCAAGTCCGGGCTTTAACATGCATTGACAGTCCTGGGCAAGTCATTCATTCCGTATACTAATGAAATCACAGGTCTGGGTATCTTCTCCACCCCCATCAAAAAAATGACCATTTACCTTTAGAAAAATCTTAGGAAAAAAGATCTAAAATCATTCTAAGTCACCTCTCTAAAACAATGGTGCATAAACTCCCTAAGTAGAAGATAGTGTAGCTTGATGGAAAGAATGCTAATAGATTTGGGCAAATCTCAGCCTTGCCAGTGGTTAGTTCTGTAGCATTATTAGTCACTTAACCTCTATGGATTTGCAGATATTATTCTTATCTGTAAAATGGTGAGAAAAACAGTTTTCCCTACATGACTCACAGTATTATTGAGAATGCATCTGAAGTGCTTTGAAAATTATGATATTCTATTCAAATGGTAAGTAGTTTACACATTCGTTATTCACACATATATCCTTCAACTTATTGGTTCTCCCTCCACTGACATTGAAGATCATGACTTATCCCAGTCTTAGTAGCTCATCTTCATGAGTTGCAATGACAAAAAATTAAAATAAAATCTTACTCCTGATTTCCAAACCCCTGGTCCTGAGCCTTTCCATACTGAGCTAGGTTGGTCAGTGGGTGACAGACACACAATTCATCATTAAAACCTAAACCTTTCCAGTTTGGTAGGACCTTGTGATACAGTGTAGCATTTATAAACCCAGAGCCACCTCCAAAGTATGAAATGCCTCCAGAGTATGATTTTAGAAAATAAAGTTACCCATCCTCCACCTACACAACTCTAGCAGTGAGGAGTTATTTGTCCTGATTGATTCATGTGAATTATACACACTTAGTCCTGTGAAAGATGAGAGCTTGTCTCTAATTGGATTCTAATTGGTGTAGTAGGAAAAACACAGGCCTTGGAGTCAGAAATTTCAGTCAGTTTGTAACAGCATCATAGATCTAAAGAGACAAGAGACATGCAATTCCATCTAGTACAATCCCTTCATTTTAGAGATGAGGATACTGAAGACCAGGAAAGTTAGATGACTTTCCCAAAGTCACACAGGTAATTGTGAGAAGCAGAGTTGGAACTCAGGTCCACTCACTCAAGAACCTATGCTCTTTCCTATGCCATACTAATTCCCATTGGTGGTGGTGGTGATGGAAGTATTGGTAGCAATGGTGGTGTTGATATTGGTGATTCTACAATCAGGGACACTATAATTTGGATTAATTATCCTGGTTTATAAAGTGGATTCCTGTATCAGATTGGGGTGTGCCCTAGATAACCTCTAAGGTCATTTCTCCAAGCTTTAATGTCCCATAATTTCATAGGAAGAATGTATTCCCTCTTCTTGACTTGTACATTTAAAAACCCTTTTCTTTGGAATTTCAAGATTCTCTAAATTTAAAGAAATCTTTCAGGCAAGGAAACCTGCAATTAACCAACTTTTATACCCGTCTGGATAGGATGGGAGAGGGAAAGAATGAAAAGTTTAATTAAATCATTTCCAGTGCAAAGCATCCAAACCCCTGAAGTCCAGTGCTCACCTCTTCTGTTCTTTTCTACAGACTCATGCAGACTTAGGCTGGTCTCTAAGGGCTTTTTAAGCTATAATAGCCTAGAATTACTTTACTAGGGTGGCATTTTTTCCTCTGCTTGAAACCTATTAAGATAAACTTTAAAGAGTTGGAATTCACATTGAAGAGTTAACATAATAAAATCATTATGGAAACAACTTGAACCTTCTCTGACTACTATAAAGGTTCTGCTCTAGGGCCTTGCTGAAAACCTCAACTCCCTGAGTCTCTACCTTTCCCCAGGAAAAATTCCAATCTGAATCAATCCAATCACTCTTCAGTCTTCACCCTTAATAATCACTTAGCCCCTGGGCCAATGTTGCTTTTGCACTCTGGCCTTAAGTCCTGCAGTCTCAAAACACTGCTATTCTCCAGCCCTACTCAGTCAATATCTCCTTCTCTGTTTTTTTTTCCATTGGTCACTTCTTATGGAAAGAGTAGAGACCTTGGGGTCAGAAAATTTGGATTGAGTTTGGGTTTCGCCTCCTTTGTGGTCCCATGGAAAAAGCACTGTACTTCAGTTCAGAAGATCTGAGTTTAAATCTGACTCTGCCACTTACTACCTATGTGACCTTGACAGATCCCTTTCAGGGCCTTTATTTCCTCCATGTGAGATGAGGGGACTGTACTAACTAGGTTGTTAAGTGAACTTCTAGCTCTAAAATTGGAGGATTTTATTGTTATTTGCAATAGTGATTCAGATTTATGCAGTGTTTAGGACTTACAAAATATTATTTTTCAATAGTTACCTGGGGCATGGAGCAGTAAGGGACTTCTCTTCATTCACCCAGTCAATATATGTCAGATTTTTTACTTGAAGTCTTCTTTACCCTGAAGCAAGCTCTATCCATTATGCCATGCTACTTGTAGTAGCAGTATTAATTGACATGTAATATATTGAGACCCTATCTTGAAGTCAAGAAGACATAGGTTGCTCTAGGCAACTCCCTAAGACTAAGTAGTAGAAAAGGTGCTGGCCTGTCTTTTTTTTTTTAACCTAGGAGTTCTCTATACTGATCATATCAAAAGTCTAGACCATCTCCCTCTTAAAGTTTAAAAGGTGCTTTACATATGGCTGACCTAAGACTTGGGACCTCTTATGGATGGCTGTTTAGGACAATCTCAACCTTCAAGGACCCCTCAATCTATAAATCAGGAGATAGCTGGGTACTTTTGCCTTTCTGACTAGGGGCCCATGACTAGAATTTTACGTGAGCTCACATCTGGTAAGGACACTGCCCCTTCTGGATGTTGTAAATCAGTAAAAACAGACACCAGGGTCATCAATGGGGAAGCCTGGCTCTTACATTCTAGGCTGAAGCAATGACTAAGTCCTTTATCTGTTAGGGGAGAGAACATTGGCAAGATGTCCCCCAAACCTTCACTGTGATACTCCATCCAGCCCAGACCCTCCAGAAAGTGCCTATGGATCCACAAACTTATTTCTGATTCTTATCTTTCCTTTCCTGCCCACCCCAAATTACCTTTCCCCCATAGTGATTTTTTAGCATGATGCCTCTTCTCTCTTATGCTAACCAGTTCTCAGACTATAAATTGCAGAGAATTTACTGATTTTCATTGGTAGATGGAGTATCTTTCCCAGAAGTTTCTGACATCTATGAAGTCACAACTTTAGGGGAAATGGTGTGATTCTCTTGAGGTATGTTAGTGCAAGTATTATTGTACCTATTTTGCTGATAAGAAAACTGTAAGCAAAATAAGGTTAGATGACATCTATTTACTTAACTATTTAGCATCAGAGTCCATATTTGCACCCAAGTCTTCTTGACTAGTCCATTGGTTTTCTTGAATTATTTAATTCAATATGATCTTGTAAGGAAAGGATCAGAACAACTCTTTTCTTATAATGGAATTCCTTTACTATAAGGTCTTGTAATTTTCTATTGGTGAAGTCAACTCACAATTGATACAACCCATGAATTATTATAATATCTTCCAAAGCTTGTCTATCTTTTCCTAAGTGTTTTTTTTATCTCAACTTACTTGCCCCTCAAGACTATCATGTAACATAACCCCCAATTTCTAAGCAAGGATGCTAAAATTAGGAAAAGCCATGTCTGCTGAAAAGAATCTCTTCAGAGGTTTGTATGTGACTCTTGAGAAAGATACAAAGGGGGAAATGCCGGCAAATATTATATTGATGGTATGATTAAAGAGAATGTATTTTCATTGGAAAGACCTGCATTATATATATAGGAACAGATAAGGGTGCTGTAATCAAATAGAATTAGTATTAAAATAATAAATACATTAGGTGGTAACATTTTGAAAAGGAGATATACCCTTTGTTGATGACATTTGTGAATACCGGTCCCTCCCTTTGGTCACTGACTTTAGCCTAAGTTTTCAATTTTCTACAGCTCTAATAAGGAAAGATTGACAGAGACATCAGGGCATAATGATGGGCTAGAAAGAATATTAGTAATCTGCCTTTGGTTGCCATGTGGAAGCAATAGTCCTGAGTATTCTTAAAATGCATTTGTATACCAACTTTCTTTTTTTCCCTTCAGGGTGTACCTGGAGTCATGGGCCCACCAGGAAAAACTGGAGAGAGAGGAGAAAAAGTAAGAAGTGGTGATCAATTTATTTGACCTTGAGCAAGTCACTTCTTTTCTATAAAACTCAGTGTTTTTCTTCTATAAAATTAGATGGTTAGAAGACATAATGTCTAATTCCTTTTTGGGATCTAACACTCTATGTTCTCTGTTCTAACATTTTAAGTTCTAAGACCTTTTCCAGTGCTAACATTCCAAGAAGCTCTCATTAATTGGCACACGAGTATTTGCAATACTCCATAGAACACATCAGAATATGCTTTAAACTCTCGATCACAGAATTCAAGGACTTGAAGGATCTTTTGCAAAGGCAACTGTATGCCTTTATAAATATGTCATTTCAAAGGTCTGAGAATGAGAGATTGGAGACAACTACAGTGAAGAAAACTTTATGTGTATTCCTATTAACCTCAAAGTTTAGCAGCCTTTATAACATAGCAGCAAACTACCACTCTGAAGACTTTCTCTCATCACTTTCTTGAATATACTCTATAATGTGGCCAAATTCTGTGACTCACTCTTTTCTAAGTTTGTCTTACATCATCTCTCCTATGCTCTTTTCTTAGCCTGGTCTAACCTCTCCATCATGTTTTTATTTATTTATTTTTACATTATCTATTTTTATTGATAGAAGTTGTGTTTATATCAAACTGATTTCCAAATATATCCCTCCCTTCTTCCATTACCCTGTGAATCATCCCTCATAACAAAGATTGTAAAAGAAAAAAGAAAAAAAATCAGTTAATTAAAGCTAACCAACATATCAACTGTCCCATCATAGATTTGAAATCTTACCCATCTTTCAAGGTCAAACTCAAATTCTCAGGAGCTATTCCCCTCATGATTCCCCCAAATGAATGTGCTTTTAAAATGTTCAGTGATTTGTTCATCGCTTATCAATATAAATTATTCATTGTCTTTGCCCTTTAGAAGCTTATCATCTAGCAGGCAGGAAAAAAAATATTTGCACAAATTCAACTAAATTTAGTTCAACAATTATCAAGGACTGATTATGTGCTGAACTTTATGCCTAGTACCTTAGGGATGGAAGTAAACATAAATATAGTACTAATTAGACTAGAAATGCATTAGATTTTAAGCTTAAGCAGATCTTATTATTTCTCCACAGTTCCTACCTAGGACAGGCCCTTATAGTAGGCACTGATTGTTTGTTGGATTATTGATTAGTGCAAAGTACTTTTGAAATTCCACAAATGTAGGATCACTTCTGGAACTAATCAGAGTTTTATACAAGTGCCAGAAAAGCATTGGTTAATTTGATCTCTAGATTCAAAATCAATAATTTCACATATATTATAGGACCATAGACACAGCTGAGGACACTAGCAGGAGTAGCTCCTGGGACTTTTATTTTTCCTATCTCCATTTGATCTTTGTGTTTGTAAGAAATGATTTCTATTTGTATCCATGGACAATTTCTCTGAATCTTTCTGATTTCAAAAGGTTGTTTTTTGAGGGTTTTTGTTTTTTGTTAAAAAAAAATCTGGTTCTTATTTTTAAAAAAGGTTTTTTGAGGAGGTAATGAAAAAATTCTTTCTTTGCCAAAGAAGTATAACTCAACATAGATAGTTTAAAATTCTTTATTTGGGTTCAAAAAATCAATTACATAGGTACAGGAAGGGAAAGACCTTACCTAGTTTGATATGATAGTCAATGTGACAAAGATGTAGGTCTATTGTCCAAAACTGGATATGAGTCTAAAGTGTGACATGAGTCTAAAAGTCCAGAGCAAAAACAAACCAAAAAGGAAATGAAACTTAAGACTTTATTAAAAGAAGTAGAGTGTAAGAAAATATAAGGTGATATCCTGCTCTACCCTTCTCTGTTCAGACCCCATCCTGCATGTTGACTTCTGGGCACCATATTTTCAGAGGGATGTAGACAAACTAGAGTGTGGCCAGGAACATAAGAATTTATATGGAAGTGCATATTATGACATTTGGTGCATTTGGGGTTGTTTATCCTAGAAAAATGAACACACTATAGTGATCTTTAAATATCTGAGTGTCAGTAATGGGATCAGTCTCATTCTGTGTGGCTATAAAGATTAGTTTTAAGATAAGACATTAAGAAGTAGATTTTACTTTTATATGAAGAACTGTTACAATTAGAGATGATCCTTTTTGAAATGGATTGTCTTGGGGGAAGGTGAGCTCTGCTATAGGCAATGTTCAAGCAGAGATTGGGAAGCCACTTGTTGAGGGGGCACAAGGTAAGTGTTGGATCTACATGACTGAAAAGGTCCATTCTATTTGAATTTGTTAGATAATGGCCTGGATATAGAAGCCAGAGTTAACCTTAACAACAAAAACAAAAACAAAAACAAAAAACCCAAAACAAAAGACACTGCTTATTGTGACAGGGTATCTCCAAATACATATTGGTTGACCACTCCTCCAATATATTGTAAAGTTTTAAAACATATTGTATGTGTTTTAAGTAGTGGTTGAATTGGTTATTTCTGAGGTCCCTTACAAAACTGAGATTCTGAAGTTCTATGTTAAGCCTACAAACCAATATCTTGGTGGCACATAATTGCATATTTATTCGGAAGATTATCTCAAACCTGAAATTATGTTTTTGCTACCTGCAGGGGGAGCCTGGTGAAGAAGGAAAAACAGGACCACTTGGTCCCAGAGGTGACCTTGGCCCTCCTGGAGAACCTGGGCTGCCTGGGAAAGGGAAAGAAGGAGAGCCAGTAAGTTGAGATTTCACATGGCTTCTGTATCGCAGGGAGCCACATGATATAATCATGATGAGAATTTTCTAGAAGTAATTCCCCAAAGTCTTCTAATTTGATGTTGGGTGCACATGATTGAGTTATACAACCACATTCAACCTCAATCACACAAACTTGGTTGTGAATAAGATTTTGCTTTGTTTTGTTCTTTGTAAGGGGTGGTGGTGGTAAGGAGGTGGATAAAAGAACACTTCCATTGAAATAAACAATCAAAAATTTCCTACAAAAAACCCACATCAACATAATGAGAAATGTAGCTCCAGCATCCAGTTCTGGCATATCATTTACAAGGATACCTCCATAAAAAGTAACATTACAAAAGAGCAAGAGGGTGATTGACCCTGTTTCAGAAGAATGGAAGGTCCTAAGGGATAGATATCATGGACGATTACCAGCAGAAAAACAGCTACACCTCTACAAGATGGCTCATTGGTTGATCAAATTGTTGGGGGAAGGTCAGAGATGGAGAGTGGGTAGTGATGGAAGTGGCAGTGTCTTTCTGGGAGCTTCTTCATAGAGAGAAGTATCTATGGAAGGATAGCTTAGAGTGTAGGGAAGTAGAGAACAGATTATGGGAGAGGAATACTACTATGTGTCCCATAATGAAGAACCAAAAAAACCATGGCTAGGAATTAGAACAAGGAAATCAAAATATGGAAGCGGTGGCAGGGGGTCAGTTCATGGAATCTAATCGGGAATCTAAGCAATAGGAAATAGGGATCAAAGTCAAGAAATGAAAGCAGGGTGAGTCTGTCAAATCCAGGTATGGACTTGCGCTCTGACAGTGGGTGTGGCCACATTTTCCTGCTGTGTGTTTCATTATCTATATCCATTCTCAAGTGCAATCATTGCCCCATTCACTGGTGCCTCTACGGTCTTTTGTACCTGCCAATAGTGTGCTCTGGGCACCAGGCACTTGACCTTTTTTTCTTTTTTCTGCAGTTCTTTCTTATTAGTCCATTAAAAATATGGGGATTAACATCTGCATCAATTAAAAAAAGGGGCACTTGCCTTCAAAAAGACCAGAACATGGACACTTTGTTAAGTATAAACTCTGCGTCCTATGCTCAAGGCTCTCTCTAGCTCAGAATCAATGACTGATCTGACTTCCTCTTTCATTTTACTCAGTCCAATTCCAACCTAGTACTTCATGGCAATCACAGACACAAGTCCTGCTCCCACCTATGTACCTTTTTTATACACTCTTTCCACCTCCTAGAACACCCTGCCTCCCTTAGCATCTCTATCAATCCTTCAGGATTTAGTTTAAGGCCCATCTCTTCTTGGGAGTCTGCCTCAACTAGCTGAACCCTATTAAACCCCATTCTCCAAATTGCCATGCTTCTTTGTTTGCCTTACACTGTTTACATAATTAAAAGATGTCAGGGCACAGGAAATTTGGACCAATATATCAAGTCAACAGGCATTTATTAAGTACTTCATATTTCCAAGCACTGTGCTTGGGGAGACTATATATATATATAAAATATATATATATGCATGTGTATATGTATGTGTATATGTATGTGTATCTATACACACACATATATGTATATGTATATCTATACATCTCTCTCTCTATATATATATATGTATGTGTATCTATACACACACATATATGTATATGTATATCTATACATCTCTCTCTCTATATATATATGTGTGTGTGTATACACACACACACACACACACACACACAAATACAGTCTCTGCCCTCAAGGAGCTCACATTTTAATGGGAAAGAGAGCATGCAAATTATTATGTATATTCAAGATTTATACAGCATAAATGGAAGATAATTTTAGAGGAAGATATTTCTAAATTATTTCCTGTGCCTTTGTCTTAATTCTCCAACTGCATTATGAGGTTTTTAAGATGCTGGGCTATGCCTTCCTCTTTTTCTCCTGAAGCGCCTAGCACAGGACTAGGCACATCTCAGATCTCCAAGAAATACTTATTCATTGGTTGATTGTTCATAACGTTGTTCCTTCCTGTGTTCTTTTTGCTAGGGACGTCCTGGTGAGCCTGGGTTACCGGGGCCTCAAGGGCACAAGGTAAGTGATAGTCATTCAGGAAAGCAATAAATGGGCATGAAATGTGTCTGTCGTATGAGAAACTCGTAACATTTCAGGTCACTCTAATTCACTTCCATGTGAGGCCACGTCTTTGGGAAAGGCCTGATACTATTTCTCTTACAATGTACTTCTTTAAGAAACAAAATAATGTTTCTACTAGTCTCAGTAATTCTTTCACCAGCAAAGTCTAGTGTTCCATGATGTATCAAGTGATCTTCATGAGTTGCCTGCAGAAAATAAGAAATCATTACTTGATTGCTACATCAATTAGCAAGGATTTATTAAGTACTCACTTCATGCTAAGCACTATGCTAAATGCTGAGGATGCAAAGAAAAACTAAAGTCAGTCCCTGCCCTCAAGAAGCTTACATGGTGGTGGAGGAGACAACATATACATAAATGGGAACACACAAGACGTATACAGAGGAGGTAGAAGTAGCCGTAAAGGGAAAGGCATTAGCAGCAATGGAGACCAGGAAAGGTTCTTTGTAGAAGTTAGAGCTTGAATTGAGTCTTTAAGAAAATAAGTGCTTCTATAAACGGAACTGAGGAAGATATGCATTCCAGGTATGAGAGTAGACGTGCAAAGGCATGGGGACAAGAGGTGGAGGAGTCACCTCACTCTCTGTGCTTAGTCTAATCATCCTACAATGGATCCAGGCTCTTTCTGCCTCCATGCTTAAAAGGCTTCCATCTTGTTTGAACCTTCCAGACCTTGTACAGAGGATATGGCAGAAAAATAAATGGATTTGGAGTGAGAAGGTGTAGGTTAAAATTCTATCTCTACCAATTACTACCTAGATGATAGGGATAGGAACAAAAACTGGACCTGTGAGGTCTTTAATATAGGGAACTCCCAGGTGAAGAAAATCCCTTTACTAATTCAGATCCCTTTCTCTGAAATTTAGAGTCTTAGAGAGTTGCCTAGACCAGTGGGTGTCAAACTCAAAAACAGATCCCTGTGGCTGCATATTGACCTAGAAAACTAGAAATTATCATTTGCTAATTTGTGTTGCATTTTTATTTATTTTGTTAAACATTTCCCAATCACATTTTAACCTGACTTGGGCTGGACTCTAGAGTTTTGCTGGTGCCTGATGATGTGAGTCTGACACCTATTGAAAGGTGAAGGCCACAGTCACGTAGCTCATATATGTTAGAGGTAGAGTTTGAATCCATGTCTGTCTGGCTCTACCCAATATACTATACTGCTTTTCATCATCTTTGTGGCCTTCGGAGAATGGGTCTCAGTTTGCTCCTCAGTATCTTAGGTCTGACATATCCTGAAGAGCATCTAGAGGAAACAGGATGATGAAGGGCCTTAAGCTCATGTCCTATGAGAATCAATTGAAGGAATTAGAGTCTATAGCCTGAAGATGAGAACAGAAAAAGGTTTTATTGGATGGCCTCTGTGGTCTCTTCCAGTTCTAAATGAAATATCTTTTGGTATCCTAGTAGAGACCAGAGTTACCTTTGTACAATAACGAAGCATCAAAGAAGAGCATGGCAGGGTCATGTGTAGGCAAAGTGATGTATGTAGGTGTTGTCTTCCAATAATGTATTTAAGAAGAAATCACTTTCAAATATCCCCTTAGCATGCAATATTTTCCAGAATCTGAATGTCTTATGTCTCTAGGCCTTGTAAGGGGTAAAGGTTCCTTTGAAATTACTCCTGGCCCCCAAATAATCTCTCTTTTGCTCTTAAGTAGTCTAATGGAAAGAACACTAAACTAGGAATCAGAAGATCTGAGTTCTAGACCATGTTTTACTACTTCCCTACTAACTGGCAGGCCTTGAGCAAGTCAGTGAACTGCTCTGATCTTCCATTTCCTTATCTGTAAAAAGGGTATTGAACTTCCTGCCCACTTCACAAAAGTATTATGAGAATCCAGTTATGCAAAGGGCTTGGTATATGCAAACATGCTTTCTACAGAAAACATCTTATTGCTCTTAATGGAAAGAGGGTCCCAATGATCATATCAATTAATACTGACTCTCATCCTAACCCCTGAACACCAGGCATCTCATATGCAAACAAGTATACAGACTTCAGAAGAAACAGACTAACTACCAGATGCAGAATCTTGGTGTAATGTTTTAAGGGGCATCTAGCTATAGTAGAAAGAGCAACAAAATTGATGCCAAGAAACCTTGGGTCCTAGTCCTGATTCTCCATCTAACAAGATGTGATTTTAGGCAAATTATTTCTCCCTCTCTGAGCCTTAGTTATAACCTCTGTAAAACGAGGGACTGGATAACCTCGTATCTTTCTTCTAGCTCTAATATTCTTCATTCTCTGTTCTGTAACAATTTGTGTTCTAATTTTTCTTCCAGTTCTCACATTCAATGTTCTGTGTCCAAGATACTTATATATCAGCTCTGGGCAGTTTCTGTCCCCCAAGCCTGGAATGCTCTCCCTACTTATCTCCACCTCCTGGCTTCCTCCACATTCCAACTAAAATCCTGCCTTCTATAAGAAACCTTTCCCAATCCACCTCAATGCTAGTGTCTTCCTTCTGTTGATTACTTCTGATTTGTTCTATATAATAGACTGTACATAGTAGACTATGAACTTATTACAAGCAGGGACTATCATTTGCCTTTTGTGTATCTGTAGCACTTAGCACGGTGGCTAACACTTGGTAGGTACTTAATAAATCTTCATTGACTAACTATCCTGGCATCATATGTTCACAAGTCTCTACCATTACTTGTACTAATGTTCCAGTGGCCCATGAACTGATGTCCCTTCCAGCTCTAACATTTTATGATGCTGTCAGAGTGTGGTTTGGAACTAATTATTGCTGCTCAGACAGTGGCACTGGGAAGAAAGGTCAATGATGTGGGGTAGGAGGAATGTCTCTAGGGAATAAGCAGCAAACTGGGGAAAATTACATCCCTTATCTTGCACAGTCAAGGGTCAAAGGCTGCAAATAATGTCATCAAATTTGAAAATCAAGCCTGAGTTTTTCTTTACCCATTGCTTCATTGGCATGCCCTGCTTGATTACTCAGAAGCCTATGAAAGGTTGTTTGTGCTTCACTTAGAGTAAAATCCTTCCAAATTCCCCAGCGTCTTAACAGAGAGTCAACACATTGCATCTTTACTGTCTCCATTCCACAAGCACTCACTCTTTTATTGCTTAACCTTCCATTTTAACTTCCATTTGAAATAGCATCTAAGCCATTTCTTGGGTATTGAAAATATGGGCTATTAAGCTGGGGATCTATTTCCCCAGGACAGGGTCAGAATTCCAATGATCCATAACACACAAACATGGACAAAAGACCAGCAAATATTCTGAAGAGAGCAGTTGAGGCCTGGACTCCAGGGAATGTCCAGGGAGCTCCTTCCCTTTTCTATCTATTATTAGTGTAGGAATAATTGCTTTAAAATCTGATCCTCTCAGGGGTAAGCTGCTTTTAGACAGAGATACAGAATTCATTATCATAGAATATCAGAGTTACAAAGTAACTCAGAGGTATTCTAGTTCACCCCTCTAATCTTCATTTTATAGACATTGTTAGGACCATAGATTTGGAGCTAGAAAGGACATTAGAGGGCATTGAGTTAAACCTTCTCATTTTATAAATAGGGAAACTGAGGTACAGAAAGGTTAAGTGACTTGCCATGGGTCACACAACTGGCAAGTTTGTAAGGCAGGATTTGAACTCAGGTCTCCCTGATTCCAATACCCTGATGCCATTTGTGATATGTCAAATGCTGCCTCTCGTAGGAAACTGAAAACCGGAGTGAAGAAGTGACTTACACCAGATCATACAGTTGGTTAGTTGTAAACTGAGGCTAGAATCAAGGTTTTCTGAATCCCAGTCCATTGTCCTAGACTTTGTTATGCCAAACATCATTTCATGAAATCTTAGAATTAGAGAATCATAAACATTTGGAGTTACGAATGATATAAAGCTAGAGCAGGGTTCCCCAAATGTTAGGGCTGGAAGGAACCTTGAAGTGAGATTGTACCAATCCCCAGAAGTCCAACCACCTATACAATGAAGGAATTATTTTGATAAAAATAAATAGTTTATCCTCAAAAAGTTGTACCATAATGGCAAAGTTTCCCTTTTCATCGCTACATATGGGCATGGACTCATAGGCTGAGTTAGGGCTATAAAGGATCTTAGAGGGTGTCTAGTACATCATCCTCATTTTATATATGAGAAAACTGAAGCAGATCAAATTTAAGTGACTTACCTGTGATCGTGAAGTTAGTGTCAGAGGCAGGATTTGAACCCATGTCTTTCTGATTCCAAGTTCTACATTTTAACAACTGTACCATGCTATACTTTTTATTTCCTGCAGAGATTTCACATATATGATCTTGGAATATACTTAGGATATAATGAAACTAACCCTGGATTTGTTATTCAAAATATATTATCCTAAACCTCTGATTCATACTCCTTAGGTGACCATGATTGTCACTAAAATTCTCTGGACCTGTTTCTTTATCTGTAAAAATTGAAGGAGATAGTCTACTACATGATCTCTTTGGGCCCTTTAAACAATAAATTATATGACCTTAAGGAGCCTATGAAGCATGAGGAGGCAGGTCAATGGTCGTCAGTTTTGGAGATGAGAGAAACTGCGGCTAAGTAACTTTCATATAGTTGCTAATTTCTGTTATTGCTATACAAACAAGACTTATGGAATCTAACAGTTTCAGTTTTGTGAAGTGTATTGCCTTTGTTTTCTTTTGAGCCCCACAACAACTTTTGAGGTAGACATTTCAGGTTTTATTATTACCATTTTCCAGATGAGGCTTAAGAAGTTTAAATGACTTGCTTATAGTCACATTGATGGTAAGTATCAGAGGCAGGGATTTGACCCATTTTCCTGACTTGAAGTCTAACATTCTATCCCATAGTTAGTGTTAAAACTTAATGCTCCCACATCTCCTAACTCCAAGCCCAAATCCTTTGTAATCAATGACACTACCTTCCATGTGCCTTATGATAATCTTCTGGTCATTCAAAAACTCTTATATTCACATACTGTTGTTTGTCCTTTGTTCTTGAAGAGGACCATGGCATCAGGAAGGGGATGTCATGACTTGCAAGTGAATTGGATTTAAGTGAAGGAGGGCTGTGCAAAGTCACCAGCCTCACTCTCTCCTCTGGAACCCTGTGGGTGGTCACCTACTGTATGTATATAAATGATATTTCTTTCTAATGGTCTGTGAAACCTTCTCTACAATGTACAATACAATACAACGAGAATGAATGAAATGTACTATCAAAAAAGTAAATAAACCACCCACAAACAACAACTACTACCACCTCTGACTGGTCCTAAACTCAGTTTTCCATTTCTGAGAGGGTATATTTTTCTCCGGATCTTCCCTTGCCACTATGTCCTCTTGCTCTGATTTGTCTATGAGGATAAAAGTCTGGATAACAGGAAAAGTGGAGAAATTGGTAAGAGGAACATGTTTGGAAATGTAGATGACAAGTTCAGTTTGGGACATAGTGAATTTTAAATAATAGTGGGATGTTCAGTTGGAAATGTCCAGCAGTTAGTTGGAGACATGAGATTGCTATTCAGCTGAGAAATTAAAAATACATGTAGGTTTGAGCATCACTTCTATGCAGGTAATAATTGAAGACATGGGACTGGCTAAGATTGCTAAGAGAGAAAGGATAGAGAAATATGAAAACAGGTCAGAGTGACACCCATACAGAAAGAAAAAGGAGAAAAATCAGAAAAAAACAAACAAAACAAAAACAAAAACACAAAACCGAGAAGTGGTCATGCACATAGGTGAACCAGGAGAGGGTGCAGTGTCACCAGAAGATAATGGAGGAGAAAGTATTTAGGGTGATCACTAACAGTGTCAATTGCTATACAAAGATCAAGAATGAAGACTAGAAAAGACCATTATTTTTGATCATTAGGAGGTCATTGATCACTTTAGAGGGTGGTATTTTTGTAAAAAGGTAGTGACTGAAACCAAATTTCAAGGCCATTTCAATTCATTAGAGATTGACTAGTCTTTGAGTGATAAAGATCTAGAGACATTAATTGAGATTCAATAATGTGATGTTGCTTTCCCAAACACTCATCTGACCTTAGGCAAGAATCACGTTGGTATTGAATAAAGGGTGAAGGAGTATGGGGAATTGTCCCATCATCTTCTACTCTGGTCAGATGGGGATCTACAACATTGCGTTCAATCCTAGATGTTACTTTTAGAAAGGACTTTGATAAGTGGAGATGCACCCAGAGGATGGTAACCAAGATGGTGAAGGACCTTGAAATCATATTCATGCAAATCAATAAGAACTAGAACTTATAGCCTGAAGAAGAAAAGTTTGTGTGAGGCAGAAAGAAAAACTGTGGCCTTCCAGACTTTGAAATTTCAAAATATGGAAGAAGGAATAGACTTGTTCTATGTAGCTGCAGAATGCAGAAATAGGTTCAGTGGTTACAAGTTACAGGAAAGTTAATTTGGGTTTAGTATAAGAAAATGTGTACTAATGTTAAGACTATCCGAGGATGAAATGGACTGTCTTCAGATAGAAGGAATTCTCCATTAAAAGAGGTCTTCAGAGATAGGCTTGCCAGATGGCTGTTTGTCAGGGATTTTATGAGTTGGATTCATGTGCTTGGGAAGAGTTAGTTTAGATAATGTCTGTGTTTCTGGTATGAATTGAGGGAGGAGGAATCCAGACTTACAGTAAAGTAATAACCAGAATTTGTAGTGTACTCAAGTTTGATTTTTCATGGCTGTGGATCTATGTGGGCAGATAGAGAAATATGATCAAAGGGAAAGTGTGGTTGAGTTTGGGGACATAGAATCAGCATTAGGCATATGGTTTGGTTGATGGGCATGGTCTAGCTTAGAGATAAAATCAAAATCTGGGCAGGAGAGGGAGCTGAGTGTGGTCAGTTTGACTGCGTTAGTAAAATTTTCAAAGGAACATTGACAAGACAGATCTTGTCAGGAGGCAGCTAAGTAGGCTGATGAAATGCTTAAGTACCACCTCCTGTCTCATGATGGCTGAATTGGGGCAAATGAATATGATCTTGAGTGTCAAAGGTGGTAGCTGAATTTGGTGGGGGAAGTACAATTTTAGCTACTGCTTAAAGTGCTGATCTTATAAACTTACTCTTCCTTCATTCTAGGGGGACCGAGGTGCTCCAGGCTTGCCTGGCCAACCTGGAAATAGAGGAGGCTCAGGAATTGGAGTAGCAGGCCCTCCTGTAAGTAGTAGAACCCAACTTCTCTCTGCAACAAAGCGGTGATGTATTTCTTGATCTCCAGATGAATTAGTATGGTATCATTCCATTCCTTTCCAGTGCCTCCGCTCATAAGAGTCTCATAAGTGTCGTATTTTTTTTTTACAAGAATGTTGGCAGCAAGTGCTGGTCACAGGACCAAGAGGTACATTTAGTGATAACTGTTACCACCTTTGACTTGTTTCCTTGCTCTTTGCTCTTTCAGGAAGAACATGCTGTCACATTGGATTGTCAATTATTCACTCAGCTAAGGGGGCGTAGTATATTCTTTGGTCACCAGATGGTGCTCCAAACTCTCCTGAGCAGCCTCTTTTCTCCACCCTCTCCCCAATTCCTCATGGCTCTAGGACCCTGGGCTGGTAGTCACTGAGATAGCCAGCAGATTCAAAGAAAATCTAGAACACATGGCCTGCAATATATTCAAAATGACCAAAACTTCAAAGCGTCTCTGTCATCCAATCTGTCAAATCCCCATTTCCCGAGGTATGGATTAACTCCCTCAAACATAGCACACATACTCCAAGTTCATAGTACTAAACAATTCACTGTAATGGCCATGTGATGTAACAACCAGATAGCATAAAAATACAATTAAGCAAGAAAACACTGCTTTAAATGGTTGCGATAATGTTGAAGCTTAGATTGATTTTTCTTCCTCTTCTCCCTTTACTGCTCTTAGTTTATTTAGGGGGAACTGAAAAGAAAGGGATTGGGAAGGTTTACAACTATCCATAGACTCCTCAGCAAGTGCTCTGAAGAATCAGGGTGAGAAAGAATCTGTGGACAAGAATTATTTTTGATCCCATACATAGCAACTCCATTAGACTGTGAGCAACTTGAGGCTAGGGACTAACTTTTGCCTCTTTTTGTATCCTCAAAGCTTAGAATAGTGCATAACAAGTAGTTGTTCTCTAGGCATTTCAGTTGTGTCTGACTCTGTGACTCCATTTGGGGTTTTCTTGGCAAAGATACTGTAGTGCTTTGCCAGTTCTTTCTCCAGCTCATTTTACAGATGAGGAAACTGAGGCAAATAAGGTTAAGTGACATGCCCAGGTTCACACAACTACTAAGTGTCTAAGGTCAGATTTGAAGATGAGACTTCCTGAGTCCAGGTCCAGCACTCTATCCACTGCGTCACCTAGCTCCCGCAAATACTAGATATTTAATAAGTATTTATTGACTGACTGTTCATTGATTGACTACTAGTTTCACTCTATCCAATCATCACCCCATTGTTAGGTCAGGCCATTCTCTGTTTCCTCTGCCTGCCTGCATTCTGCTCCTATTTGGTCTGAATACCACATCAACTTTAGGTCTGCCTCACCTCCATGAATAACTCTGCAGAGGTTTCTGTTGATCTTTTGCTTTCCCCTAATTACAGCTGCTCAATCAGCAATTAGCATACCAGTGCTGTATCTTGGCCACACACCAGGAAAAAGATTTTGGTCTCACTGGCAGCTTCTTCTTGTTACTTCTTTGTGTAAACTTATAAAAATCTTAGACTAGAAGTCTCTCCAAAGACAAAAGAAATCCCAAACTGAAAACTCTGGGGAATATATCCCCCACCTCTCTTTTTATGTAGTCTCTCTGGATCCATCTTTTACCTTGTTCTCCCAAGAGATCTTGAACCACTGGACTGCATTTGAAATCAGCACAGGGTTGATGGTCATCCACCAGGGGCTATTATAACTGACACCAATGCCTATGTTAATACAAACATTTAGAGGGAAAGAAAAACTTCATGAAGCCCTTCTTCAAGTGAATGGACTCAAACACTCTGAAGAGGAAATAGCTACTTGTCTTCCAAAGAATCACCCTGTAGACTTCATGTTGTTTTCAGGTGAAGGATGATTTATTAAAGATCTTAGGAAGAAGAGGCAAATAGAAGCGCTGATGATGCTTATAGAAGAGATACTGAGGTAGCTATGTACTGATTGGACAACAGTTATAGAGAAAGCTGTTTTATTCCTGGGGTACATGTCTGAGTCAAGACAGAAATTCCCAAGTCTTGTCAAAACAGATGAATACCATTTATTTCCTGATGATCCACATGGATAGAAATGATATTGTCAGAAAGAATATAGAGTATGAAGTCTTGGTTAAGACTTTAGTGACACAAATGGTGTTTTCACATCATTGCTATCCATCAAAGGCAAGGGATTCAGAAGAGACAGACAGATTTGGAAACTGAACACTCGCCTGAGAAGATGGTGTCAGAGAATAGAATTTGGTTTTCTGGGCCATGGTTTACAATATAGGTTTTCCTGGCCAGGGATGGAATGCATCCAGTGTAATGAAAGTAAGTGTTTGCCTGGAATCTTGCAAATCTAATCAAAGGAGCTTTAAACTAAGAAAAAAAATAGCAGGAAGAAAACTGACTACATATATACACCAAGCAAGAGACTATGCTACAATTTTTTAAAATAGTATTCTTCCCCCAAGAACATTATTACCATTCATTTTTACAAGATTTTGAGTTTCAAATTTTTCTCTCTCCCTCCTTTTCCTCCCCTCTTCTGAAAATGGTAGGCAGTTTGATGTAGTTTAAACATGTGCTATCATGTAAAACATACTTCCATATTCATCACAGTTGTAGAAGAAGAGACAGATCAAAAGAAAAAAAAGACATGAGAAAATAAAGTAAGTGAAAAACATATATGCTTCATTCTGCACTCAGAGTGCATCAGTTCTTTATCTGGATAGGGATAGCATTTTCCTTCATGAGTCCTTTGTTATTCTCTTAGATCATTATGTTGCTGAGAAGAGCTGAGTCATTCTTACTTGATCATCACACAATGTTCCTGATACTGTGTACAATGTTTTCCTGGTTCAGGTCATTTCACTTTGCATCAATGTGTACAGCTCTTTCCAGGTCATTGTTATTGGGTTTTTTTTTTTATTTTTCTGAAATCCGCCTATTCATTATTTCTTATTGTACGATGGTATTCCATTACATTCATAAAATGTAATTAATGAGTTGTTCAGCCAATTATCCAATTGATGATCATCCTCTCAATTTCCAGTATTTTGCCACCACAAATAAATATTTTTGCACAAATAGCTTCTTTCCCCTTTATTGTGATTTCTTTGAGATAGAGACCGAGGAGTGGTTTTGCTGGATGAAAGGATATACACAGTTTGGTTGCCATTTGGGCATAGTTCCAAATTGCTCTGCAGAATGGTTGAATCAGTTCACAATTCCACCAACGGTATATTAGTGTCGCCATGTTCCCACATCCTCTCCAACATTTATCATTTTCTTTTTTGTCATATTAGCCAATCTGATTTGTGTGAAATTGTATTTCAGAGTTGTTTTAATTTGCATTTCCCTAATCAAAAGTGATTTAGGGGGCATCTAGGTGGCACAGTGAATCTGTGCCTCAGACATTTGACACTAGCTGTGTGACCCTGGTCAAGTCACTTAGCCCCATTGCCTAGTTCCCCCCCCAAAAAAAAAAGATTTAGAGCACTTCTTCATATGCCTAAAGATAGCTTTGGTTTCTTCATCTGAAAACTGCCTGTTCATATCCTTTGACCATTTATCAATTGGGGAATGGCTTGTATTCTCATAAATTTTATTGAGTTTTCTATATATTTGAGAAATGAGAACTTTATCAGAGACATTCACTATAAAAATTTTTTCCCAGCTTTCCCCTTTCCTTCTAATCTTGGTTGCATTGGTTTTATTTGCAAAAAAAAAAGCTTTTTAATTTATTATGATCAAAATTATCTATTCTACATTTTGTAATGCTCTCTATCTCTTGTTTGGTCATGAATTCTTCCCTCCCCATAGATCTGACAGGTAGACTATGCCTTGCTCTTCTAATTTGATTGCTTCATTGTGTATAGTACCTTTTAGCAAGGCATAGTTTCCTTCCTTATCTCTTTTAATTAGGTTTATTTTTGCTTTTACTTTGTCTAAGATCAGGATTGCTATCTCTGCTTTTTTTTTTATTTCAGCTGAAGCATAATAGATTCTGCTCCAGCCCCTTACCTTTACTCCGTGTGTGTGTGTCCTTCAAGTGTGTTTCTCGTAAGCAACATGTAGGGTTTTAGTTTTTAATCCACTCTGTTATCTGCTTCTGTTTTATGGGAGAGTTCATCCCATTCACATTCACGGTTATGATTACTCCCTGCGTATTTCCTTCCATCCTATTATTCCTCCTGTTTGTCCTCTGTCCCCTTTCATCCTTCCCCTCCTCACCAGTGTTTTGCCTCTACCTATCACCTACCCTGATCTGCCCTCCCTTGTATCAGTCCACCACCCACTCCTCTCCATTCTTAATCCCTTCCCCTCCTACTTCCCTGTCAGGTAAGACAGATTTCTGTATGCAAATGAAGGTGCATATTATTCCCTCTTTGAGCCAATACTGATGAGAGTATGGCTCAAATGATGTCCACGGCTCACCCTCTCATCTTTCCCTCTCCTGAAATAGGTCATTGGAAGAATCTTGGCACCTCTTTCCATGAAATAATTTACCCCGTTCTACCTCTCCCTTCTTTCTGCATCCAGTGTACTCCTCTTTCTCATCCCTTAGTCTTTTTTTTTGGTCATTCCTTAAAATTCACCTTATACCTATGCCCTCTGTCTATGTATATTCCTTTTAGTTGTACTATTAATGGTACAATTTTTGAAGAATTACAGATATCATCTTCCTGTGTAGGAATATAAATAGTTTAGCTCTATTGAATCCCTTATGTTTTCTTTTCCTTTTTTAGCTGTTTATTGGGTCTTGATGTTAGAGGTCAAAATTTTGATTTAGTTCTGGTCTTTTCCCTATGAAAGCTTGAAACCCTCTGTTTCATCAAATGACTATTTTTCTCTTGATGTATTATGCTTAATTTTTCTAGGTAAATGATTCTTCATTGTAGTTTTTACTTCCTTAGGCCTCTGGAATATCATTTTCCATGACCATCCCATTTAATGTTTAGCTTTAATGTTGCAGCTGCTAGGTGTTGTGTGA